CCAGGCACCAGGCACCAAAGAAAGAAAGGTGACTAAGGATGGCACAGTTTCTGGTATTAAGGAAATCCGTCTAATGGGGGGCCAGACATGAAAACAATTGGTAATGCAGTGAAAAGGCATTTCAGCCACCCGTGGCATAGTGACAGCAAGAAACTAGGATAGGGGTAGGTTTCTGAAATGAAATCATTCTGAATCATACACAAGTCATCGCTGGATGCAGTTCAAAACTGGATCCAGCCTACTTTGATTGTCTCAAAAATAGCTAATGAGTACTGCATAAAGGTGCACAAAGTGCAGAGAAGATACAATGGTATCAGGTTGAAATCTTGGCTTTATATTGAATTATATTGTGGGAGCTCATGTCATAGGTGACATTCCCTATCGTTAATTTTTTTTTTTCTCCCAGACATTTAATTTAGGCAGCCCACGGAAGTTCTGTTTCGCTAGGGGCAAAGTTGTTCTTTCATGTTACATCAAATTGTCTGAGTCATGTAAGCATTTGTTTAAAATATAAAACCAGAGCTTCAAGTAAGAAAAATACCAGGGGAAAACAAAACCGGGTACTGAAGACACAACACACCAAGTGTTATCTCTCCGAACATATTCACAGAATTTTCTATGAGAACTTTAAACAGGCTCAGTGTCAGCGGGATAGCATGTTCTTTGTTGTTTTGGGAGACTTTTTCAATCAAATAATAGTCTTTATCAAAATGACTTATAATGCCACCTGATGGTTGGAACTTACTTCTTAATAATTATCATCCCATGCTAGTGAGTAACCGATACAAAAAAAAAAAAACTGTATAAAAAAAGAACTTACTCTGCCCCTGGGGTTATGCTTCACTTTTCTGTCGGACGTTTAATACAATATCATAGCTTATTGAAAGGAAAACCAGTATTTTTTAGTTCTTTAATTTATAGTAATAATTTGCCTGAATAATTCTTCAGCCAAAGAGGTAACAATGTATGTCAACATTCACTTCATCATATTTAAATTGAGACTAAAAATAGTATTTATCTCATGAGGTAATAGTGAAGATTATATAATACATTGTAGAAAGGTATGAAAAATGCTCAATAAATGTTTGCTAACATTATTACTACCCTTGCCATCCAAATTATTGTACTGATGACACAGCTATTTTATTTTGAATCATTACAGTTACAAGTGAACAGAACCCAAGCAATGGCTGGATAAACACACAGTGACGTTTAATTGAATTTACAGAGTGGGAGGAGTAACATAAGGGCTGGAAAGGCGTTGAGCTGCAGAAGACAATGAGATGAAGCCCAGGAGAGCCATCAAAATTCTCTTTCCATTACTCTTGTTTATTTCTGCACATCTGCATCAGTTTTCCATTTCCGCATGATGGCTTTCTCTGCTTCTCCTCTTTAACAGGAAATGGCGTTGCCACAGCCCCCGAGTTTCCATGTGGCGGTTCCAGTCCCACACTCTGACTAACTAGCAACTCTCAAGACCATTTCTAAATAGGAGAGAAAGTGTGATCAGTCCAGCCTGGTTCAGTAAACTCTTCCTGACCTTGTCAGCATCGAGGACCTGACACAATTCCAAGATGGCTGTCTCCTCACCCCCAGGATGCTTGGCAAGTTTCCAGAGGAAGGACCATTACTGTTAGCAATGCCAAAAAGTCATGCTGTGTCCTACTCTTGATTTCTGAGCCAGTATGTGTCTTCCTTGCCATATATCCAAAGATGTCCCACCCCCAAGTCAACTGTCTGATGCATAACGACCAACACTTG